GGACCTTTTTCCCTCCCTTCTCATAGCATTTTAAGATTGCAGAAACCTTAATTTAATCGTCATAAACAGATCCCACACTCAAGACTACTCGTTTTGACTACTTCCTTCACCACTTCCTACGTCGCGGCCCTGTTTACCTCCCTCCCCATATCATTTTAAGATTGCAGATACCTTAATCTAATCTTCAAAAGCAGTTCCCACACTCCGGACTACTCACCTGGACTACTTCCTTCACCTCTTCTTACGTCGCAGACATGTTTCCCTCTCTTCCCATAGAATTTTAAGATTGTAGACCAAGATACCATAATCTAATCGTCATAAACAGTTCCCAGACTCCGAAAAACTCGCCTTTACCACTTCCTTTATCTCTTCCTACGTCACGGACCTGTTTACCTCCCTTCCCATAGCATTTTAGGATTGGGGATACCTTAATCTAATCGTCATAAACAGTTACCACACTCAAGACTACTCGTTTTGACTACTTCCTTCACCACTTCCTACGTCGCGGCCCTGTTTACCTCCCTCCCCATATCATTTTAAGATTGCAGATACCTTAATCTAATCTTCAAAAGCAGTTCCCACACTCCGGACTACTCACCTGGACTACTTCCTTCACCACTTCCTACGTCGCGAACTTGTTTCCCCCCTCCCCATAGCATTTTAAGATTGCAAATATCTCAAATTAATCGTCATAAACAGTTCACACACTCCGGACTACTAGCATTTACTAAATCCTTCACCACTTCCTACGTCGCCGACCTGTTTCCCTCCCATCCCATAGAATTTAAGATTGCAGATACCTTAATCTTATCTTCAAAAACAGTGCCCACACTCCGGACTACTCACCTTCACAACTTCTTCGCCACTTCCTATGTCGCGGACCTGTTTCCCTCCCTTCCCATATCATTTTAAGATTGCAGATACCTTAATCTAATTGTCATAAACAGTTCACACACTCCGGACTACTAGCATTTACTAAATCCTTCACCACTTCCTACGTCGCCGACCTGTTTCCCTCCCATCCCATAGAATTTAAGATTGCAGATACCTTAATCTTATCTTCAAAAACAGTGCCCACACTCCGGACTACTCACCTTCACAACTTCTTCACCACTTCCTACGTCACGGACCTGTTTCCCTCCCTTTACATTGCATTTTAAAATTTCAGATACCGTAATCTAATCGTCATAAACAGATCCCACACTCCACACTGCTACCCTTGACTACTATGTATCGAGTTCAGTTTAATCTTTGCTTAATAGTAACAACTGATGTTTTTCCTTTTGTACTGTATTTTGTTTTGCTAGTATACTGTGGATAGAGAACTTCTGCGCATGCGCAAGCTGAGGTGCCCGTGGGTACAGAACGTCGCGTTATGTCTTAAAATGTAAACAAAATGACAACAATGGCGAAATGTTTTCTCATAAGGCCCATGTTAAATTTTCAAAAGTTTGAGACCCAGTAGGGCGGATTCCTGAGAGACTTTTTTAACGCCATATAGATGTTGGCACTCACCGATATGGTCTTTATCACCATGCAAAATTTGAAAACGATTGATTCAGCCGTCTAGGAGGAGTTTGCGTATTACGAAATGCATAAAAGTCGATGTATAAGAGCTTCGCTCGCTCCGCTCAACAACTAACTAACTAGCCTATAAGTATGGAACATCAGGAAATCAGCTGTTTCCCCGTCCTTGCTCGCCTTTGCCCTAGCATGTCAACAGCTGACTGCTGTAAAAATTGGATGATGTTTCAGGGTGGCTAGTGAAACCACATTGAAAAATTCCCTGACTTTTCCCTGACAATTCCATGATTTTTTTAAACTTTCCCTGATCGGCAAATTCAAAATTACAATTTTAATACTAACTAATTTTTCAAAAGGACAAATATTTATCTGACAGATAGTTTATGTTTGTTTACATGAAAAAATACATAAAATCTATAGATACAGGCTAGCTTATATTCAAACTTTGCAACTTGCCTTAATAAAATCAAACTGAGTTTGATAAGATGATACGCAGTTTATAACAAAATTTAATTTGTACAAAAACACAAAATTTATTTGTCCAGACATTTCTTAGTTTTCACCCACACGGCATACGTACTCTCACCAGATCGACCTTTCCTAACAATTATTATGATTATTTTAAACATTTTAAAATTTTCCCTGACTTATGACAAAATTCCCTGACTTTTCCAGGTTTTCCAGGTCACTAGCCACCCTGTGTTTTATAGTTTGTCTAACCGTTATACGTTTATATTAGGTTAGGTACTATTTTATATTTCCAGTGAACTTTGCTATTAATTAGTAATTTCTTAAGGTTTTTGATGTTTAGCTATTTTGTTGGTTAGGCCTATATATTATCCACTCAATTGTGTTTTTTACACTTGTTTTTTTAAGTTTATTTAGGTTGTTATATGTTATTCAGTTAACTGTGCTTAGAATTAGTTTCACATTGTTTATATGCAAATTTCATTATACTTACAGTACGGTACTTTATCCAGTAAGGATTAGTTACAACTCTTATTTTGTTATTTAAAAGAATTTCTGTTTGTTTTACTACCTACCTACCTATATAGTTTTTCACAGAGTTGAAGCTTCAATTTAGCCTATTATTTTATTTGGTTTATATAACAGTCGAACGAATCCGCATAACCCCAGACCTCCCTTCACCACATGCCTTTTCCAATTTAAACCAGATTTTAAATATATTACAGCAAGTTTGGTTGGGTTTGGTTGGTTTAGGATAGTTTATACTTATAATCAATACGTAGGCTATTAGTTCCGCTAAATGTTGAACATCTCCAAAGAGCTACATGGTTATAACTAAGGCGGAAGGCGCAATGCTTTGGTATTACAATCTGACCGAGACATTGTGGGAGTGAGGTGAGAGAGAAGTGAAGAACTGAGGAGAAACAACTGAACTAAAATACTGAAATCGAAATGCCAAACCAAAGAGAAAGAAAAACAAGATAGAATTGATAAAAGTAGAGCAGACAAAATACGTACGTAGTGTGTAGTGCAAGTAAAAAGTCTACGTTTCGGTTTTGGTTCTTATTTAGGCCTACACCGCATTATATTTGAAAGTCGGGTAGGCTAGATTTTCTGGTAATTATTTGGACGTAGTGACTACTCGCAACAGTGAAATTTTTGTTTTTCATAATGACCTAAATTTCACGCTGAATCCGAAAATGACGTTTTTATTTTTCGGAAAATACCGGAAATTCCCGAAAAAAGGGAAAAACGGGAAAAAATGTTTTTACTCAAAATGAGTCATGTGGGTACTCAAAATACGCGGGATATTGTGTAGATTAAGAATATGCAAGAATCTTTTTGATCCGATGAAAAACACCGGAGATAGGGCGAACAAACGGTGAATAATTGATTAGGATTGGCTTGGTTAGGTTAGTTTAGGTTAGGTTTGGTTAGGTTAGGTTAGGTTCGGTTCGGTTCGGTTAGGTTAGGTTAGGTTCGGTTAGGTTCGGTTAGGTTAGGTTAGGTTTGGTTAGGTTAGGTTAGTTTAGGTCAGTTTATCAATAACATGAGTATTTTAAGTAAACTAACCTAACCTTATCTAACCAAACCTAACCTAACCTAACCTAACTCAACCTAACGTTACCTAACTCAATCTAACATAAACAATAATAATAAAATAATGACCATCTGAGCAGCTGGTATTTTAACACGGACAAAAGTTGGATAAAAATCAAAAATAACATCGCACATTTTCAGGTTAGGTTAGGTTTGGTTAGGTTAGGTTAGGTTAAGTTAGGTTAGTTTTCTTACAATACTCATGTTATTGATAAACTAACCTAACCTAACCTAACCGAACCGAACTTAACCTAACCAAACCAAACCTAACCTAACCTAATCTAACCAAACCTAACCTAACCTAACCTAACCTATCCTAACCGAACCGAACCGAACCTAACCTAACCTTACCAAACCTAACCTAACCTAACATAACCAAACCTAACCTAAACTAACCTAACCAAGCCAATCCTAACCAATTATTCACCGTTTTTTCGCCCTATCTCCGGTGTTTTTCATCGGATCAAAAAGATTCTTGCATATTCTTAATCTACACAATATCCCGCGTATTTTGAGTACCCACATGACTTATTTTGAGTAAAAACATTTTTTTCCCGTTTTTCCCTTTTTTCGGGAATTTCCGGTATTTTCCGAAAAATAAAAACGTCATTTTCGGATTCAGCGTGAAATTTAGGTCATTATGAAAAACAAAAATTTCACTTTTGCGAGTAGTCCAAATAATTACCGATTTTCTTTGTGTTACGAAATTTAATAATCCTGGTTACGTGTAACCGTTAAAAAATAGTTAGTACGATGAACTACTTTTTACAATATTGGCTTCCTCCATTTTGAAAGAATCGAATCGATTATAGGCTGAATAACGGACATGCGATTATTGACCAGTCGAATCAAAGTTTAGTGATCGCAATTTCGATTGGCGATCGATATTTTCATCCGATAGTTATCGTAGCCCAGTTAAGAAACTGTACCCGATTTATGATTGAATGAATCTAGGCCTAGGATATGAATTCACCTAGGCTTATTTAGGCCTAGCCTAAATCATAGACTAAGCAACACAAGGGAGTAAGTATGTTTTATCTGTGCCTAAATCAACACTTAGTCTCAATGCCAAGCCTAGGCCTAGCCTTAGCTCTTGTAACGTGTACATTTTGGGAAAATATTAAAACATCTAATAAAGGTAAACTTGAATTACGGAGATAAGAACTAGGCCTACAGAGAAAAAAAATAGTCCATAAGATGACTTACAACTAAGTATTGTGTCCCTAAGCCTATAGATCATTTTTGTTATTGCTATTTGTTGCGGTAAGTTACTGCCAAGTGCCAAGTCAAACCCCCGGCGTTACCGTGATTCTCACGCCCGCCATGCCTGATATCAAACCAATTAAAGTTTACCAAGTTATTAAGCAAGTTATTAGGGCTAATATCAATAGGCAACTACTACAACTTACCCGCTTCTAACCATTGTTAACACTTTAAAGATGATAATGTGAATTATTTACACTAAAAATTCTATATCAAACCACAGGAATTAAGTTAGGCTACTAAAAAATAAGGTCGACAAGACGAACACTCTGACACTACACAAGACGAACACAACAGTAGTAACAACAGTGACAGTGAGTGAGTCAGTGAGTTGAGAGAACTAAAATGAAAAGTGAGACTGAGACATGAGAGCGAGAGTGAACGAGTTCCAGTTCGAGTCGAGAACTAACGACCGACACGACACAACTTTTTTTTAACTTTATTTAATTTACAATCTGTTCAAGTTAAACAATAAGCAAATGATATAAATCATTCATTAACTCACAACATTAACATTGCATTAACATCATTCATAATCAATTCACAACATTAACTTGAAGAACATGAGCTAGTGATTGACAACTGTCAACTCAGTATGACTATGAAGGGAGTATGTTTTATCTATGGTATGATTATATAAGTGTTTACATTTAATAAAAAAAATTATATTTAAGACCGGAAGGGGGGTCCGGACCCACAGGACCCCCCCTGGCTACGTCACTGAACACTAGCTAACAAAGATAATTTTGATAACACTTATGCCGCAACTCCACTTGCCGTAGATAGCCGTGCTGCAAATTGTTGCTGGTCAGTTGAAGAAATGGGAAGGCAGAAATCAAACTAAGGTGGCTCCACTAGCGACAGTCGGCAGCGCGCTACATTTTACGGTGTGCCATAGGATGTAGCGTCGCACGGAAATGGAACACGGACCATTTTCGCGCTATATTTTGCAGCCAACAGGCGGCTCCACTATGGCTGTAGCAAATAGATGAAGTTATATTTCTTCATCTATGGCTGTAGATTGTAGTGCCGCACCAGCACAAGTATGTACCAACGATGTGATCGTTCGTTGGTGTGTAAGTACAGCCGACCGGCATACAGGCACAAGACACACGCTACAATCATAGTATCGACTTTTTAGTGTCCTTAGTTTTTTTATTTTTTGTGGATTGATTTTTAATCAATGGAGCCTGAACTGGACTGTGAAATTATTATATTAGAAATTATTATATCATGATTGTGAGAATCTTGTTTTATAGGTTGTCTAGGGGTTTCCTACTTTAAATTATAAAGTAATACACAGTTTTTAGATTAATTAATAGGTACAACAAAAACTCACGGAACTCATTGATATTCAGCGTAAATTGGTTACATATCTTAGAAATATTACTTCTGAGGGTAAATGAGTGCAATAAAATTAAAATAGAAATAGAAAAGAAATAGAAGTAAAATTACCATTAAAGTACACTAAAATTGCCTTAATGTCACTGAAAGCCTTTCCACTACTCAAATTGCTTCTCTTAGTTTGGTATCCTTCGTCTTCAAACGTGTTTGATACTGCTTCTGAAGTAATCAATAGCTTTTTGGGACATTCGATAATATTAAAAAGAAAACTTGTCTTAATACTTTTGTAGTTTATGCAATTTGTGGAACATCCCTTCGGAATTTCTGTTGCTTAATATTGGATGGATCCACCATTTTTGCTGCTGGGATCGCCGTCGTTGCTTGATATAAGATAAAAGTACACTGATAACAACACTATGAATGTTAATTTGTGGCATGATACAGGGCCAAGTTGACCTCGGCGCTACACTAAACTGCTAGTGGGAGCCACGGTGCATGTGAGGACACTGCAGATTTGTAGTTCGTACTCTGCTGCCAGTGGAGCCGAGCCACCAACTGTCGCGGGGTGTAGCGCGCTACAATTCGCAGCTCGACAATTAACGGCAAGTGGAGCCGCAGCCTTAGCCGAAACTGAATGGGAGGGCCAATATCGTGGGTCACCGGAATTTTATCCCCCTGGGCAAAGCTGACGTCACTATGACGTAGGAACCTGAGTGGCCAAAAGTTTGTTCGAAATTTTAACCCCGCGGATTTGGAAGTCTAATGAAAATAGCCAGAGCGTGATTAATTAGATTAGCGATAAAAACCGGAATTTAATGATTGATTTTCTTATTTCTGTTTTTAATTCATTGTAAACATTTCATTATTTAGTAGCCTATCTTTATTTATTTATTTTGTAATGAAATGTTCGAAACAATTATCATTAAGTTGATTGTTTATACGTCATATTAACCAACTGTTGGCTTCAAAAATCGAATCCTAATACTAGAATCTCAAAATTAAAATTAAAAACTTGTTCGATTAGTTAATGTTACAAATAAATTAATATACAGTAGGCTACTTAATAATAAAATGTTTACTATAAAATTAAAACAGAATGAAGATAATTAATCATTCTCACTAATTTATATATCTGGCCAGGGGGTAAAATACCGAGGGTAAAAATCTGGGGGTAAAATTCCGGGGGGTAAAAATCCGGGTCGTACACTATAGGTTTTTATAATTTGATGTGTTCTGATTAAATTCACAACCGTGAAAATATATGTTTAATTCAGCGTTTAATCCATCGAGCTGATGTCGCGAAACTCATAAGTTCGCGGCCGGAATTTTACCCCCTGGTTTGTGACGTCACGTTTGCCCAGGGGGTAAAATTCCAGGGGGATAAAAATCCGCTACCCCAATATCGTATGTCTGTAAATGGTGTTGTGATTGTCCAATAGATTAAGTGCAAGATGATTTGGATGATTTTCCAATTTTATAATGTTTTTTTCACTAGATTTTGTAATTTCTTCTTTGACTGTTCGAGTTTGAAGATCATTGAAGTGTTCTGTTGGTAACAAACCAAGGTGCGTTGACAATTTCACGTAATAATTTTGATTGGTAATGTTGAATAATTTCAATGTTTGAGGTACTTGCTGATCCCCAAAGCTGAATACCAAATAAGTCCAAATTGGTTTTAGAGCTGTTTTGTACATTAACAATTTATTTTGTGTACTATAAGTTTTGATTTAGATCCAAGAAGCCAATTAAGTTTAGTTGTTTTTAAAATTAGATGTCATCTTTTAGTCCAGATATGTGCCTTCCAATTAAGCTTTGCATCTAAGTGCATGTCCAAGTATTTTATTTCTGTTACTTGAGGGATGAGGCGAAGATATTGTTCATGGCTACTGGAGGACGTGCAGCCTGATTTTAGGGTAAAAGTAATGTGTGCTGATTTGTTTTCATTAATTTTGAACCTCTCTATAATATTTTAAACCAATGTGAAATTTCATCCAAGTTTAGCTGTAAATTTGCTGTAGCTTGAGCCGGATTGTCGTGGACAGATGAAATCGCAGTGTCACCCGCAAATGTATAGCAACCATAGTGTTTACACTTTCTGGTGGGTCCGATGTATAGAGAATATACAAGTATGATCCAATTGCGCTTCCTTGGGGGATTCCTGATTCTAAAGGGTAAAGGTCAGTTAAGTAATTTTGATGTTTAATTTGGAAAGTTCTGTTGGTAAGATATGATTTTAAAATAGGAAAAACTGAATGGGGTAACTTCTTAATTTTGAATAGTATGCCAGAGTGCCATACTTTGTCAAATGCCTGACTGACATCAAGGAAAGCAGCCGAACAAAATTGTTTGTTTTCCAAACATGGTTTCGAATTGCATGAACAACCCTTTACAGTTGAATTTGAATGTAAAATTTCCTTTTACACTTTAATACCCTTTTTGCATGTAATATCAGATTCCAACTACTGTCATATTTTCCGGGTCAAAACTACCATAATCCAATTTCGGAAGAGGTAGGCCTATCTGAATCATAAGATTTAGTAAAAAAACTGAATTTGAATTATTATAATTTTAATCATTAAAACAAGCATCAGTACATCTATTGACTTTTTTTAATTTTGTTTCTTATACAAATATCAAATCACGTTTGCTCTACTCAACTGGCTTTCACCTCTCTTAAAGCAATCCTAGTTAATTAGCTGTGTCACTGTGTCTAAGGAGTCGGCCTTAATCACTAACAAAACTTCAAGATCGCGCCACTCATCCTACACTCATCTCCATTCATACTTGGCTTAAAATACCTTCTTTGCATGGTCGTCATTTAAATGAAAAGTGTTGAAAAATAGTAGAATAAAAATGGTGTTTATAAAATTTACATTGAGATATAACCAATGCTCAGTAATATAAAAATATTGGTTACCACCCCACATGTTATATTTGGCAGGTCAATAGTCCAATAAAAATAGAGACAAAAATAGGGGAGTTAACTTACAAACGGTCCGGTAAGTCTAAATTTTTTATATGTTGTCTAGGATGGTAAGTAGGTGTTTAAAATGAAAAATCCACAATTCTCCCCCTCCGCGCCCGCCGCCATATTGAAAAATCGAAAAAATCTGTACTTTCTAGAGATTTTCGCCTATATCTCCGTTTTGGTGCGTTTTAGCGAAATATATGTAACGTCAATGTTGTAGACAATTAAATTTCCTATAATATAAGTATAACAATTTAGTTCTAAGACTTGTGGATACGAAAATATTTAAATTTTTGTACAATAAAACGTCAATTTTTTTGTTATTTGACACATTCTATTAGTCCAAGCAAACTAAAAAACTGACACAGGGAGCGTTAAAATAATTGCAAGAAAATGTTTTATGGCTATATTTTGTAGTGTTGGGTCTGCAGAGTGACATACTAAAATTTGCCAAAAAATCGGTCTACAGAAAACCTCCTAAAATCACGATAAAAAATTGCGGCTTTTCTCAACATTGGAGAAATTTGAAAAAATATACCACATGCATATTTTATTCAACATTTTGTGAGATATTGACTTGGGACGACCACCGAAGTTTATTGGGTGGTTAGTACTTCATTTACATAGGGAACTCATTTTTGGCCGCCATCTTGGATCCGCCATATCGGATATAAAAAAAAATTTAATGTAATGATAACGTTGTGACACATAATTATAAACTAGATTTTCATGCTTATTTCAATGCCAAAATCTGTTTTTAAATATCTGTTTACGTTTTGAAGATATATTCAAACGAAAACTCTCCCTCGTACATTTCTTATAGACGTTTCGTACTTGGAATGTTTTTTTTTACGAGCTACAATCCCCAAAACAATATGAAATTTAACTTTTTTAAAGCTTTGTTATTGTTTTGGGGATTGTAGCTCTTCGCTAACTCGTTCGATTTGAATAATTAATAGGCCAAATGAAAGTGCTTACATCACAGAACATTTAAAGGCTAGACTGAACTGCAAGCAATTATTAGAACTGGAAATATAAGAAAAATGGTATTTAAAAACATTTCAAGTACGAAACGTCCATAATAAATATATGGGGGAGAGTTTTCGTTTGAATATATTTTCAAAACGTAAACAGATATTTGAAAACGGATTTCGGCATTGAAATCAGCGTGAAAATCTGGTTTATAATGATGTGTCATACCGTTATCATTACATTTAATTTTTTTTATTTATATCCAAAATGGCAGATCCAAGATGGCGGCCAAAAATGAGTTCCCTATGTAAATGAAGTACTAACCACCCAATAAACTTCGGTGGTCGTCCCAAGTCAATATATCACAAAATTTTGAATAAAATATGCATGTGATATATTTTTTTCAAATTTCTCCAATGTTGAGAAAAGCCGCTATTTTTATCGTGATTTTAGGTGGTTTTCTGTAGACCGATTTTTGGCAAATTTTAGTATGTCACTCTGCAGACCCAACGCTACAAAATAAAACCATAAAACGTTTTCTTGCAATTTTTTTAACGTTCCCTGTGTCAGTTTTTTTAGTTTGCTTGGACTAATAAAGATTTGTCAAAATAACAAAAAAATCGACGTTTTATTGTACAAAAATTTAAATATTTTCGTATCCATAAGTCTTAGAACCAAATTGTTATATTTATATTATAATAAATTTAATTGTCTACAACATTGACGTTACATATATTTCGCTAAAACGCACCAAAATGGAGATATAGGCGAAAATCTCTAGAAAGTACAGATTTTTTCGATTTTTCAATATGGCGGCGGGCGCGGAGGGGGGAGAATTGTGCATTTTTCATTTTAAACACCTACTTACTATCCTAGACAACATATAAAAAATTTAGACTTACCGGACCGTTTGTAAGTTAACATACCTCTATTCACTGGACTAAAGCTTTGGAGAAAACAAAACTGAATCAATTTAATTTTAGTCGGAGATTTTCTTAAAACACATTTGATTATGTTATCGAGACAATGTAACAGCGTATTTTACTTTCCGAGATCAAATTTAAAACTTGAAACTAAGAAGAATAAGTGCAGTTGTGCTTGTGCCTTGTGCTAAAATTAAATACCCCCGACGCAGCAAACCTGCAGACTTAGCGAATTTCCATTTGCCTCGTTGGATTTACACTAAAACGTCTCCTTAAATATATCACATTTATTCCCTATTTAAATAGAATTAGTTTATAACGAGTATGTACTTAGGTTTGCTGTAACAGGGAGGGTAAAAAAGTGTTTTTTAATGTAAAATGATAATAGGTACTGTAGTTTAGTAAGACATTAATGTATTTTCCAAATTTGATCAAAATATGTTCATAAATAAGCAAACTACAACAGTTGACTTATTCTCCATAAGAATAACATGGGAATTTTAAAATTACAATTTTTTTTGAATTTCCTCCGTAACCCTTAGGCGCATAATAACGCTTCAATATACTAAATTATTTGTTTCTTTAAGCTCTACATAATGGTTTGGAAAGTAATTGTGAAATTTTGTGTTTTTAGGGTCAAAAATGGGAAAAACCTATTTTTACCCCATAAAACCCCCCATTAACCCCCGTTCCCATAGTCCGATCATGCTGGTTCGTGAACTCATTCAAGTTTATCCTGCATTACACCTTTACACCAAATTTCATCAAAATAGGACAAAAATTACTCAAGTTATCGCGTTCACGGACACACATATATATATATATACTGTATATATAAATCTATATATATATATACATATATAAAAATTTTAACGAATGGTGTTTTTGGCCTCTGGGGTCATCAAAATGAAAAAGTAAATCGGCCCCGGGTCTATGTCTTACCATGCCACCTAGGGCAATAGCTTACTTCCCTATAGGGAAATTCGCTAAAAAACGACGCGGGTCAAACAAAACTGAGGTTATATAAACATAAAATTTACCTGTCTTCCTGTCTAAACATCGATGGTCTTACCTTACCTACACTATACCTGTCTAGTGTCTAGTCCACTGACGCAGGACGCTGAATTTTTATTTCAGGATTAGTGTTGCCTACAGTATTATTTTGAGGCTTCTGACTGGCTGAGGGAACATCATTACCGCGACGATACGATTGATGCCATCGGCCTCGGTGGTGTAGTGGATAGATTGCTGGGCTGATGAGCCGAAGGACCCGGGTTCGAATCCCACCAGTAGCACTATTTTTTTGTATTGGATTTTTTCATTATCAACAAGTTTGGTTGGTTTGGTTAAGTTATGACGGTTTAATGTTATAATTAAAACATTATGAAATTGAATTTTACCCATTTATAGTTTTATTTTATGAACAGAAATATTTTTTTCGGTTAAGCCTTCATTTGATTTTTCGTTATTAGCAAGTCTGGTTAGTTTGGTTAGGTTATGATAGTTTAATTTTAGAATAAAAAAAATTATAAAATAGGATTTGAGGCATTTATAATTTTATTTTATGAACAGAACTATTTTTTCGATTAATAAACCTTCATTAGATTTTTTCATTGTCAGCACGTTTGGTTGGTTAGGTTAGGTTATGAAGGTTTAGTTTCATAATAATAAAATATAAAATTGAATTTGAGGCATTTATAATTTTATTCTATGAAAAATAGTTATTTGTGCAACTAGTGAGAAAAGTGAGCAATTGACTCACTCGAGAGAAATCCTTACTCACGAGCTGTAGACGAGTGAGGAATGGTTTCTCGAGTGAGGCAATTGCACTTTGAACTCGAGTTGCACATTATACTTTTCCTACAGTCACCATAAAACAAATAAATTGGTGAAGAAACATAACCTATTTTTACACAGAAGTGAACTTTTAATATAACATTTAATGTGAAGTGATAAATACAACAGTACAACAGCTGACCAGCTGATTTACAGCCAGTGCTGCCAACGTATTTAGCGCGCATACGACGTTGCCTGCATGTTACTCGCTCACTATTTCGTGCCTTCACGTTGCAAATCTGGAGTGAGACAAAGTAATTAGAGTGAGACAATGTCAACATTGTCTCACTGATGAGCGAATTGGCCACTTTGCTTTCTCAAATAAGTGAGAGAACATGTACATTGTTAGGTAACTGTAGGAAAAAATAATTTTTCAATTACTAAACCTTCGTTAGTCAATCAGAAGTCTCCAAATGACACTGTTGGCAAAATTAATCCTGAAAAACAAATTGTGCACACAGGACACAGACAGGCGGCAGGCGGACACGACAACTGGTCTGGACTGAACTGACTGAAGACTGAGTGGACAACGACAGTCGACATTCGACAACACAATCACAATCCTGCGCTCCGTCAGACTGCGAGTGCGAGTGCCGAGTACTGCGACTGCGCTTGAAGTTATTGTTACAGTAATAAATTACTTGTGAGTAAAGTTTTATCATTAACGCATCTTAAACATTAATTAATTAATTGTAGGTTGTTGCATATTATGTATTAAATATTTTGCGTTGGTCTAAAACTATATTAAGATGCCTTTGTACTTAAAACAACACAAGTTTGATTATGTAACCTGTTACATCCTTAGCCTGTAAGCTGTGTATCCGTCATTTTCAGCAATAATTAATTTTTGATTGTTTACTATATTATTCTATACAGAACAAATAAAACATTCCCTGTAATCAAAACGGTGTAGTGAAAATCAATTTTTTTTTTTAAGAATGGGTAAAGTGAGGTTAATTATGTAAGAAATGGCATTTAACTTATTACCTAATTTATTCAAAAGCCCGTAGGTAGTAATAATGTTTAACTTATTAACTTTAAACCGTACTTTTTAAGCTATTTTGAGGACCTAGTTTAATGTGTTCAAGCTTCCCAGTTTATTTTTTAAAGGTCAAGAAATGTTAATAAAGAAACTTGTACTCGTATAATGTCATGTTTTTTTTTTTTTATTGAGACTTGTGGTTTTAATATCAAAGGAATACTGCAACATTACAACACATTCAAGCATGTTTTATTTACAAAAACACCCTGGTGCCAATGTGCATGCTATAAACAGAAATTGTCCAAAATCAGACCATGATTTTGAACCAGAGAACTTATTTTATCTAAGAAGTGTTTAAGAACTAGCACACAACACGACTGCATTATACCTGCCCAGCAAGCAACAGTTCATGTCGACCACGCTTAAAAAAAGTAAACTTTTCTTTCAACTTTTCTGAAAATACACATTTTCTTTTCGGCATTAGGGTAGGCCCTAGGGACGATCAACACGGACAAATTAAAAAGTAAGATAATTATTTTTTAAGTAGGCATGTAACATGTAACGTAAAGTAAGCAAGTAAGCAGACGAAGAGCTAGTCACTAGTCGACGGCCGACGGTCGCTAGTATGCTACTGGCCTGGCAAGCTGGCTACTAGTGAGCAGAGTTATTCAGTTTCGCCTTCCGTTATGTTTTGTTCTACAGTATTTCCAATGGATTCTAGCGTACGTTATACACGAAATTTGACCTAAAGAAAGAGGAAATGACACTTTTATACGTAAGATATTATTAAAGTGTAGTATTTTATCTTAGTTTAATGTTATGATGACGATTAATTATAAAAGCTGATTGCTAACATTAATACTTGCAGAAATATTTTTTTATTTTCTCACAAAGTCAAAATCCCGGACATTTGAAAGTATTGCCAAAAATCCCCCCGGACGTTTTTTTTGTACCCAAAAAGAGGACGTGTCCGGGAAAAAGAGGACGTCTGGGATCCCTACATGGTTGAATGAATCTCTGCTTTGATTGATTTTATTTACATGCACCTTCAGGAGTTGATGTGTAGTACAGTAGTCTCCCTATTATCCGGACTCTTCGGGACCGAGGCCAGTCCGGATAAACGTAGGAGAGCATTGTATTTAGACACAAGATCACTGGTCCAGTTTTATAGAGTAGGCTAGTAAGCTACGATAGTAAAATTTATTACTTATGTTTGAGCTTTAGCTTTGACTATTAATACAACAACAATAGTAGGCCTATCCAATAGTCAATGGCTTTAGTGAGTAAAATTGTTAGGTATTAATTATGAACAAGTGGTCAATCATTCATTTTCACCACACTTAGGCCTACATAGTAAGCAGTTTTTTTCCTACTTATTATTTTTGGACCAGAAAGTTGTTCACAGAAAGGAACCTGTAAGGTCAGGTAAACTTACTCCTACTGGTCAGTTTTCTAACAGACTTAGTTACAACATTGCCTTTCTTTGACGCTGAACCTTTCTGTTTTATCTGACATGACGTTAAGTTTAGTTCTGATGTCTCTGCCAAACATCATCTTGTATGCAGACATTCCAGTTGTAGAGCTTGGTGCCTTCCTCAGCTGCGTGACTAATGCGTCGATCTTTGTTTGTATGTCACCTCTCTCCCCCACCATTGAATTTAGCTTCACTGTTTGTACGAATCTTTCTGCTTGTCCATTGCTAGAAGGATGAAATGGTGCGCATGTTCTATGACAAATTCCATTTTCTTTCAAATAGTTTTGAAAAGCCGTGCTGGTGAATTGTGTCCCGTTGTCTGTAACGACTGTCACTGGAAGACCGAACGTTGTAAATAGATGTTGTAGCTTTTTGATACACCATTCTGCTGTAGTCGATTTTGTATGCAATATCTCTAGCCATTTAGTATGGGCATCAATGATGACTAGGAAGTAATTTCCATTCATGGGCCCAAGGAAATCTAAGTGTATTCTCTCCCATGGTCCAGATGGTTCTTCCCAAGGGTGATTCCTATCTTTTGGAGGTTCATTTCTCTTCTGGGAACATATCTTATAGTTTATGACCAACTCTTCAATGTCTCTGTCCACATTCTTCCAGTACAAATAGCTTCTGGCCATTGCTTTCATTTTTGTCATACCAAGGTGGCCCACGTGTAGTTCTTTGAGTACTTCTTTCTGAAGAGTTGAAGGTATCACAACCCTTATACCTCGAAAAACACATCCTTTGTGTAATGTGAACTCGTTGTTGTTTAGTCCCCTTGTCTCAAGATCATCTCCATTTTCAAGGGCTGTCTTGACTTTAGGGAAAAAAGTATCATTCTTTGTATGTTCTGCAATTGTCTCTACGGTAAGTGGCAGCATAGATATTTGATTCATCTGAAATTTTGAATAGAGATCTTCACCTTCTTCTAACTTTTCTACTGGGAATCTTGAAAGAAAATCTGCATTGGAGTGGTCTGAAGTTTTTCTGTATTCTATTTCATAGTCAAAACCAGCAAGGAAAAGAGCGTACGGTAATTTAACAAACGTGTAGCTGACATTGCAGGTAGGGATTTTGAAGGATGAAAAATAGATACAAGAGGTTTGTGGTCTGTGACAAGTATGAATTTTCTGCCACAGCAGTATGGAAAGAACTTTTTCACACCCCAATAAATGGCAGTCGCTTCTTTGTCAATTTGACTGTATTGATTCTCACTTTTACTTAGTGACCTAGATGTAAAGGCAATTGGCTTTTCTGTTCCATCTTTTAGCCGGTGTGAAATCACAGCTCCTAAGCCAGTTGGTGATGCATCTGTTGACAGTATTAAAGGTAATGACAGATTGTAATGGATTAAAGTTTCATATTTAGCAATGTCCAATTTAACAGATTCAAAACTTCTTTTACATTCATTCGAATTTTCACTTCTTTCATCAGTCCATTCAAATTTCTTGCCCTTCTGTAAGAGTTTGTTCAATGGGTTTAGTTTCTCTGCCAGTTTGGGTATGAACTTATTGTAGTAGTTTGCCAAACCTATGAAAGAACGTAATTGGTTGACATCACAAGGTCGCTTTGCTTCAACAATCGCTTTTACCTTTTCAGACCCCTTTTGAAGTCCATTTTCATCAATGGTATGACCTAAGTAAGCAATCCTTTTCTGAAAGAATTTACATTTTTTCAAAATTCAATCTAAGGTCATGTTCCCTTATTTTATCAAGGACTAGCTTTAATCTTTGCACAGTTTCTTCATAATTTGATCCTTGTATGATAATGTCGTCAAAGAAGCATTTAACACTGCTAATTCCTTGTAGTATTCTGTCCATGAACCTTTGCCATACTGAGTGCTACTTTAACCCCAAACATCATCCTGTTGACTTTGTAAAGACCTTTTTCAGTACTTATAGTTTGCATATTTGAACTTTCCTCGTCCATTTGCATGTGCAGGTAAGCATTGCTTACCTATGTCCAATGTACAAAATAGCTTCCCTCCATTCATTTCCGCGAAAATGTCCTCTATCCTAGGTATTGGATGTTTGTCGTCTTGTATCACTTTATTCAGTGTAGTTTTATAGTCAGCACATATTCTTACAGATCCATTGGGTTTAACAACTGGGACAATTGGCGTTCCCCACTGAGCATTGTTCACCATTGTTCACCGGCATTCTCTAGTCGATTGAGTTCGTCTTCCACTTTTCCTTTAAGTGTGTACGGAACTTGTCTGGGTTTGATGAAAATGGTCTTGCAACCTTCTTGAAGGGATAAATGAACCTTCTCGTTCGGAATACATCCAATTTCCTTTTTGAAAACATCAGAGAATTCTGTAAGTAGTTTAGAAAGATCACACGAGTTTTCTTGAATAGTTCTGATATCTCAAATTTTTTAGTTAATCTCCCTAAGCCATTCTCTTCCAAAAATGGGTTCAACATTTTGTCCAATAATTACATACAGCTTGCCAAAGCATGCTTTGTCTTTCAAGCTAAACTCGACATACACTACCCCCTTTGGTTTTACAACTTCGCCCGTGTAAGTTCTTAGTTGTATGTGAGTTTGAAATAGTTTTTGACTCAAATTTAGTTTCTTATAATCCTTGTATGATATCGACGATAAAGCTGCTCCTGTGTCCAATTCCATTTGAATTGGCTTTCCTTCTAGTGTAACTTCAACCATGAACTTGTCAGAACCATTCATTTGTATCTTATATGTGTCGTACGTTGCGTGATCAATATCATTTACATTTTCACTGTCCTCGATCTGGTTGATATGCCTAGCTCTGTTCTTTATGCCATGCAGACCCTGGCTAAGTGACCAACCTTGTTACAAGAATTTGCAGAATTCATCCTTATACCTGCAACTGTCAGCTTTATGGAACTTATCCCTGCATCGATAGCACCGTCCACGTATTTGGTCAAATGTAGAGCGAACTGTATGATATCTTTCGGTCTTCTTGGTTAGTCCTACTCCTACTCCTTTGCTTGCATATTGTTGTTGTTCCGGCTTCTTTCTTTCAGTGCTTCCTGTTAGCTTAAGAACAGCAGCTGTTGTAGGATTTGATATGATGCTGCTCTCAAGTCTTGAGGATTCACAGGAAATTGCAGCTTGCACTGATTCTTTGAAAGTACTTGTTTCTTTCTGTAGTAACTGCCCTCTTACATCATTATCTTTAAGTCCTCTAACAAACTGCATTCTTAGTAACATGTCTGATACAGATTTCCCACATTCACATTGAAAGCGACAATCCTTTGCTAGTCTCTTCAGTTCCATTGAAAAATCCATCGTTGTTTCGTCTTGTTGAACATGACACAAAAATTTGTGTTGAAGAGATATAACACTAGGTAATGGTTCCAAATAATCCTTCAATACTATTACCACATTTTTGTAATCCATCTTGTACGGATCATCTGGAGAAACTAGGTCTTGAAGCTGTTCATGTAGTTTTGGTGGAAGCACTGCAAGTAATGTGCAAAGCTTTATTTTAACGTCAGAAATTTTCTTCAAGGAAATAAAGTTTTCAAATCTTTTAATGAAGTGGCTGCACTTTACTTGACGTCCTACACTCATTCGAATGAAAATATCGATCGATATATCGATTAATCGATTGCTTCATTTGATATATCGTTTGGTTAGTTAGGTAAGGTTAACCTAACCTAGCTAACCAAACAATATATCGAATGAAACAATCGAATGAAAATATCGAATCGAAAAACAATCGAATGAGTGTAGGACGTCAAGTAAAGTGCAGCCAATGAAGTTTGTAAATGATTCTCCTTCATCGAACGGAACAAAAGCAATATTTGATGTAACAGAAGGATGTGAAGCTACTGAAGGCTGATTCGTAACTGTGGTTGGGGATTGCAGTTTGTTTCTTAACACCACTTCGGTTGTAATGTACAGCTCTTCAATTTCACTTCTACTAGTTGCTAATTGCTCTATATCTTCTTCATCAACTAAAGATTCGAGTTCAGATTGAGCATTTTCAAATCTGTTCCAATATGTCCGTAATGAAGACAACCGCACTGTGACTTCATCACTACTCATGTATTCTCTCACTGTTTTATTTTGTACAATTGCATTGTAAGATTTACTAATTTGAATTTTGCTTGCAGTTAATACCTTTTTGAGCTTAAGTACTTCACTCATCCTCGTCGCCAATATTGTGTCTAAATTCAATAAACTTTAAACGTTTGAGAAATATATTTGAACATTGTAAAAATCACAAACACTAAAACAAAACATTAGGCTAAATTGTACAACTGAATCACAACAGAAAAACAATAAATAATTAACCAACCAGCTGGTATTAAAACATAGGAAAATAGAATATTGTTAGTTGACACTAGATTGAAACTTACTAAGATCTTTAGATAAAAATGTCCCCAAGTCATATCTAAATACAATAGTTTCTTTCAAAGTAATTTACTGTATGGCATATGTTTATGGGGAAATGCAGCTGGAGTACATGATGTCAGAATACTAGCTTCAGCTGACTACTCAGAGTACTGTAGGCCTATTTTTATCCATGAAAAAGTGTTAACTGTCTTTAGTTTATATGTTTTGTATGTTCTATTAGAAGTAAAAAAACAATCTGTATTCTTGTTGAAACGGCTAAGGCTAAATGTACATAGCCACAACACAAGGCTCAAGAAATGAAATTGACATTCCCTTTTGTAGATTGACCAAAGCAGCCAAAAGCTCTAAAGTTATAGGGTTTAAACTGTACAATATACTACCTCATCATGTCAGGAATATTATTGAATCCTTTGCTAATTTTAAAACTGTCGTAACAAATGGTCTTCTAAAACACCCACTTAATTCTGTTAATGAGTTTTTACATTTGAGTGCTACTGATTTTATAGATTTTAAGTAACATGCATTAATTGTTATTCAAAATTTTTTATTTTAAAGATGATATTCATTCTCAATTGACAACTGTGATCTCTTCTGTGATATACGCTAAGTTTTACATGTATGTTACATAAGGTCTACTGTGATAATATTCATGGCTCTGTTACATTTTTTAGTTTATAGTTTTCTTTGACAATGTCTATTGCACAACTGTGTCTAATGACAATAAAGGATTCTTATTCTTAGTCAGGACCATTTATTTAAAGCCCAATGAACAAGGACAGTATATTCTTGGTGTCAGTACATTACAAATGTCCTGTATATGACATAACCAAGCACATACACCCACTGTGACTATAGATCACAGCACAAATACATCATTACTTTGCAATCTGAACTTCACTTTCAAAAATTTACAGATGCATTCAGCCTGAGAGTCATGAAAATGAATCTTGAACTTCCCATTACCCAAAACTCTTCGGATCCAAATGAAGATGGTCTGATAGGTGCAGGGAACCTGACATTGTCCTGGCATAATATTTCTGTTTGGGTGAAGAAAAAGAACGAAGAGAAGAGCTCATGGCTTCAGCAGAAATACCAAGATGTTAGAATAATCAACAAAGGTAAATTACTGCTTTATTTTCTTAATACCCCCGCCGCAGCAAACCTGCAGACTAAGCGAATTTCCATTTGCCTGATTGGATTTAGACTAAAATGTCTCCTTAAAAATATCACATTTATTCCCTATTTAAATAGAATCAGTTTAACACATACTTAGGTTTGCTGCAACAGGGAGGGTAAAAGTGTTTTTTTATGTAAAATGTTAATAGTTGATAAGAAAAAAAAACATTTTCCAAATTTGGGCAAAATATGTTAATAAACAAGCACACTACAACGGTTTACTTATTCTCCATAAGAATAACATGGGAATTTTAAATTAACAATTTTTTTGGAATTTTCTCCGTAACCATTAGGCGCATTATAACGCTTCAATATACTAAATTATTTGTTTTTTTAAGCTCTACAAAATAGTTTGGAAAGAAATTTCAAAATTTTATGTTTTTTGTGTCAAAAATAGGAAAAACCCATTTTTACCCTATAAAAGCCCCCATAAACCCCTGTTCCCATGGTCCGATCATGCTGGTTCGCGAACTCGTTCGAATAAACGTAGGTTTACACGTTTGTAGCAAATTTCATCAAAATCGGATCATTTTTGCTCGAGTTATCGCGCTAACGGACACATATATATATATATATATAAATATATATATAAATATATATATAAATATATATATAAATATATATATATAAATATATATATATGAATTTGAACGGATGGTGTTTTTGGCCTCTAGGGACCCCAAAACGAAAAAAAAAATCGGTCCCGGGTCCAGGTCTTACCATGAGTACTACGGTAATAGCTTATTCCCTATATGGGAAATTCGCTAAAAAAACAATTTAACTCTTGTTTGTTGTGTGATGTGTTATGAGAATGAAGCTATTCAAGCGAATCTACATATTCCAGTAATGAAGTGTTTGACAATGGCAGCTCCCCGAAACATTTAACACGTTGATGAAGGTTACTTTTGAAACTGATAAAGGTAATGTAAAACCAGTTTTATATATTACAGTTTCGGGGCTACAACAATGCATTTTATTTTATTCATATTTCAGTTTTGAATCAAAACAATCTAATAGGATTTGTTTTATTCACAAGCTGCATGAATCTCTTTTACATGTGATATAAAACTAAATAATTTGTAAATAAAAAAACTTTTTAAAATACCACGTTTTAAAACAAACTAAAAAGTAGAAAATAATTTACAAATATGTGGAGAGAATAAATGCTTGTAAGATTTAAAACAAAAAACGTGGGCGCATGCAATAGATAATAATAGTTCAATAGGCAAAGATAATAATAATTGTAAATTGGCTATTGCATGCGCCCACGTTTTTAGTTTTAAATCTTACAAGGATTTATTCTCTCCACATATTTATAAATTATTTTCTACTTTTTAGCCGTTAATGTGGAAATATGTTCAATCTATTTTATGTGACCTGTTAATAAATAACCAAAACCTTATTATCTGTAATCAGATGTTTTATCTTTACTTTGAAATGCTTGTTTTATATTTTAGAATATCTCAAAAGCAGAATCTGTACCTCTTAACCTCAGACAAGAAAGCGAGATAATAAAAACGTTTTAAAAATAAAGATATGTTACTAATTTAGTATGGTTTAAGAACTCTTAAAAAAATATAGACTATCTAAAACTATCTATACAAGTATGATAGGCTCATTATTGAAAAAAAAATCTCATGAAGTCTGTAGATTTGCTTCAACATTAGTGTCGACCCTTTAAAATAAACAAAAAGAACACAAATTGAACTGAAATGTACAATCATATGAAAGTTGAGAGTGCCATTGGAGTGGAACATAGAACCACTGAACCAGTCAAGCAGGTGTCTAGTGGTTGGCTGTTTTTCTACTGCCAAGGCTTGAATAATGTAACTGGAACTGATAATCTGATACCTTATAATGTATGCATAGTTTTTCTATGGAGAATTGCATGCTTGATTATGTATGCTTAGTCTACCTTGTCACACACTCTGTGAATAAAATGAATAATGAATATTTTTATTTATCTTTAAAAGTGCAGCAGTAGAATACTTTTCTCCAGAAGTTTATGATTAAAACTCTTTTTATTGTTAATGTTGTAATCTTATTGCTGTTTATTTTTAGAAAAAGTAAAAACTATTTTTCGTCATACTGAAGCAAAAACAGCCGTTTTAGCAAATTTCCCTATAGGGAAGTAGTCAAATCAAATCAAATCATGTTTATTAGCACATAAACGTACAGAGGTTATAGATGTACAGGTGCTTCGTCATTCTTCTTATAGCCTAATATTATAATGTCCTTTCTTAAAATGTATTTAGTAATAATAAATACAATAGTTGTCTAACATTTGAGGAATTCTTTGTATAGACTAGCCAAAAGGTTTAATAAAAAATATAATATCAAGCTTTAAACTAAATACTATTACCATTACCAACTTAATTCAGGATTTATATAATTTAATTATAAATAAAACATTTAATTGTAGTAAATAACAGACTCTTCATTAAAATTTCACAACAAAAAACTATATATAGGCCTATATATAATATGTAACATTTAAAAATCAACAAGATTAGTTGATAGTTCCCTAGAGAAGGAACTTTTTACCCTATAAAATATTATGGAAGTAACAGGACCTGCTTATAACATTTGAGAGTCATTTAGAAAATCGGCAACTTTATAATAGGTTTTTCTGATCAGATTACACTTAACGTTATCTGCAAATTGTGCTGGACTCATTGCTGTGTTTTTTAAGTGATTTGGAAGTTTATTGAACAATTTGATTCCCATGTAATGAATACTGTTTTCCAAAGATGTCGTAGAATGATGAGGGTATATAAGTAAATTCTGGTTTCTAGTATTGTAATTGTGGCTATTTTTTTCTATAGAGTACCAATTTGAATTATTTTTTACATGACACAGAACCTCAAAAATGTAAATACATGGTACGGTAAGTATTTTTAAACTTTTAAATACTTCTTTACATGAGCTTCCAGGCTTTTTGAGGGACATGGCTCTTAAGATTTTCTTTTGCAATTTCAATACATTTTTTATTAAACTTGTTGCGCCCCATAATGTTATTCCATATTTCAGTAACGGGTAAAAATAGCCATAGTACAAAATAAGTTTTGTTTCCATGCTGGTACAGGCTGTAAAGCAACTCATATTAAAACAAATGTTATTTAATCTCTTACATAATGGTATAATATGTTCATGCCACTTCAGATTTTTATCATATATTACCCCTAATAATTTCACAGACTTCTGATTCTTCAAATCATCATTGCCAACTGTAACCACTGCCACTTTTACACGTCATTAATACTTCACTTATAACAGGTTTTCATCCTGATAAGCTGAAAATTTCAAAAATTATCCCGGTATACAAAAAAGGAGACAAAAAAGATCCAAATAACTATCGACCACTGGCAATTCAACCAGCTCTTTCAAAATTATTTGAAAAATGCTTTCTTTTTAAATTAGTGGATTATTTTGAAATTAATAACTTATTAGATATAGAGCAGCATGGTTATAGAAAAAACAAATCCATCACTACAGCACTTATATCTTACATTGAAAATGTATTAGAAAAGTTGGATGAGGACAACAAAGTCATTGGTGCCTTTTTGGATATGTCCAAGGCATTTGACAGTGTGCACCATTTAAAGTTACCTACTAAATAAACTTAAAATGAATGGAATTGGTGGCATAGAGTTAAGCTGGATTGAATCTTATCTGGAGGGACGCCAACAGTTTGTTAACATTGTTCATTTAAGTGGGAATAAAATGTACCATATTAAATCTGAGGTTAGGACAGTAAAATACTCAGTGCCACAAGGATCAGTGTTGGGCCCATTCTTGTTCTTGTGCTACTTGGGAGGGATGCCAAAACATTTATTGGTTATTAATTTATAATTATTTTTGTAGTATATTATATATAACGTATATATATATACGTCCGTGAACGTGATAACTTGAGTAATTTACGTCTAATTCGGATGAAATTTGGTTTAAATGTGTTATGCGGGATAAACTTGAATGAGTTCGCAAACCAGCATGATCCGACCACGGGAACGGGTTTTACGAGGGGTTTTATGGGGTAATAAATGGGTTTTCTCATTTTTCACCCTCAAAACACAAAATTTTCCCATTTCCCTCTAGACCCTTTTAAAGAGCTTAAAAAACAAATCATGTAGTATATGAAAGTTGCCATTAGCTGTATGGGCTATTAATTAACAGCTTGTGTCTAAGGAATATGTCGGCCTTAGTTACTAACAAGACTACAAGATCGCGCCACTCATCCTACACTCATCTCCATTCATACTTGGCTTAAAATACCTACTTTGTATGGTCGCCATTTCAATGAAAAGTATTTAAGTTGTTCAGTCAAGTTGTCTTTGTTTTTTGTATTAATTTTATATGTCTTTGTTTTTAACAGTCCATCTGTAATTCCCATCACATTACCATATGTCAATTTTCATTGTTGCATTCATTCGTCTCGAATCACCGCTCATAACATCACGCATTCATTTTCCTCGTAATAAATTATACTCTTTTATACCAAACCTATCGACTTTTTCCTCCTAATATAAATACACCGCACATTTTTGGTCCTATCGAGCCGCGGATTATATCTACGAACATTAGTGCGACTTTTTCTCATGTTATTTTCAATGTCTCGGTTGAACGTATTTCATCCAACGTGAAGCCGCCAAGGACAATACCGCATCGCCATTTTGAACTTTACGTCTACGTCACGATACAGTCCACACTCCTCTCATTCCAAGTGTTCAACATCGTCATTGTTCTGCTAGTTCCGCTCCACATTCATCACTTCATTTTGTCTACAACTTCAACTTCAAACGTCAAGAAATTGAAAAGTAAGGTTATGTTTGTTTGTACTTCGAAGACAACGCACCACATCTCATCGTAAGTTATCAAAATAAATCAATATCAACATGAAAATAATAAAGAAACCCTGATTTTATTCCTCAGTCGTCCTTATCCTCTTATCCTCAAATTACTCCATCCGTTTACAATATTGACTATTTATTGAACGATCTAGGCCTAACTTTCAAAATGAGATTTTCCACATTTTCCAATAGATGCAAATTGCAATTAAATAAATTAAATACGATCAGTGAGTATATTCAATCATGTCCATTAGAAATAACAGAAGCTCAAACCGCTAAACTTAACCTTTATTTGCACAAAGCTAAAACAATTTCTGCCAATTTTGAATCTAACCTAGATAAACTTCTTGATGTTGATGACGAAACTAACGTTTTTTTCTGACAATGAAGAAGCTATTTTAAAGCTCCAGAACGACATATCAGAACTCTCAATAAACATTCAAACAGAAATTTCTCTTCTAATTCAGAACTTTAATGATGAACACTTGTCAAAAAACTCTGTAACAACAAACCTAACCTCTAGGCCTACTTCTAGCATTGTAAAATTGCCTAAGCTAGAACTGAAGTCCTTCAATGGTGACACTAAAACATGGACATCCTACATTAACCTTTTTGATACTACTATCCACAACAATAGTAGCTTATCCCTTGTTGAAAAACACCAGTACTTGATAAGTTCACTTGAAGGCGAAGCCTTACACTTAATCAAATCCTTACCGATCTCGTCTGGCAACTATACAGTAGCCTATAATGCTTTACGGGAAAGATATCACTCGAAGCGTAGGCTAATCTCTGTCCACCTCAATAAAATTGACGATTTGCCCAATATAACTGACAAATCTATCAAAAACCTTAGATCATTTTTAAATGAGTTTAATGAAAATGAACAAGCTCTTAGTGTTCTTGACTATAATGTCATGGAAGACAACTACCTACTAAGTATGTTGATCTTATGAAAAATGAATTCCAACCTCTGTCAAGTTTTCGAATCAAAACGCATAAGTTCTTCTGATTTTCCTCAAGCAAGTAAAATAATCAAATTTCTTAAAGACTTTTGTAACAACAGTGAAGATGCATCTCTATGTCACAGTCAGCAAGCTGCTCCTCTCCAAATATCCAACCCTCCACCAAGTTCCACGTCAAATTGATGAATCATTTCAGTTTCAACATCCTCCTATGGCTTTGATATGTACTTCAAATGATTTGAAATGTTTTTTCTGCCATAAAAATCACAAAATATACAGTTGCCCTGTCTTTAATAGTAAAACCCCGCAAGAAAGGCTTAAAGTTGTACGCGACTTAAAACGCTGCACAAATTGCCTTGGTAATCACTTTGCTAAACGCTGCAAGTCTACTAATACTTGTAAAACCTGTTTGAAACTTCATCACACACTCCTACATTTTTTGAAGCCTACTAAGCCTATGGCTGATAGCAGAAATCACTCCAACCAAGAAAAAAAAGAAAAAGAAGCAATAGCAAACTCAAAACCTTCGAAACTGACAGCTGAAACTCCTGGCCATTTTCTTATCAAATCTTCTCTGACAACTGTTCCTGACCCAACAAAGATCTCACTTCTTATTGATAATTTACCTCAAGACATCACCCAAAGCCTATGCTGCCGTTGGAGTCAAGAATATTTTAAGACCCCTCATCAGCGTTGTTTCAAGTGGAACCTCAAGAAAGAAAACCTCAATGTGTAGACCCTGTTTGCTAAAACACACCAGCTCCTCATAGCTACAGACCAGCTGATCCTCATTCAAGACCATCATTCAAAGTGTCTTCATACCATTAAGCTGCATTCTTTAAATAATTACAACCCACTCTGGTCAATTCTAAAAAGTTTTTATATTTTTTCAATTTTTCTTTTGTTGAACATTGTTGGTTCAAAGGGGGCGGTATGTTCAGTCAAGTTGCCTTTGTTTTTTGTATTAATTTTATATGTCTTTGTTTTTAACAGTCCTTCTGTAATTCCCATCACATTACCATATATCAATTTTCATTGTTGCATTCATTCGTCTTGAATCACCGCTCATAACATCACGCATTCATTTTTCTCGTAATAAATTATACTCTTTTATACCAAACCTATCGACTTTTTCCTCTCTAATATAAATACACCGCACAAAAGTATTAAGAACGATACTTCAGGGAGCAAGTTGTATTGTCTTAGACTTAAGTACCAACGTTACATCTAAAACAGCATTTCTTTATTTTACAGTGAGTGGTCTAGCAGAGCCTGGGTCTTTGGTGGCGATTATGGGGCCAAGGTAACCATTACATTTTTTAAATCTTCTATTGAGTTAGTTTGAAAACCATGTATCATGAAACTCGCTCGTAAATAAAGGCCTTTTTATTTATTTATAAGCAAGTGAATGGAAGTTATCTATTTCTATATACTATTATAAAGAATAGTTGGTGTCTTGTGTGTGTGTGTTACAGAAAAAATATTAAACTGGTTAACAACTGTTAAATTTTGTTTCTAAATTAAATTGTAGGTGCGAAACCATTTTTAAGGCATATTTAAAGAATCAAAATTATTGTCTCTTGCGTACTGACCCCGTTGCAAGGCACGGGTTTAGCTGCTAGTTATATTATAAATAAACGATTATATTTTCTCACTAGGACCATAGCTGACACTATTTAATTCTATCTCAAAATAGACCAACTTGTAAAGTTCATGAAGGTTATTAGAGAGAAATTTGTAAAGATCACAGAGCACATTCAAAGCATATGCCTATCCTTCCTATGCTCTAAACGCTCTATTCTACACTCATCCTTCCGTCATATTTGTGTTAAAATATGCATATCCCCATCTCATTTGACATAGTAATAATAATAAAATAATAAACCGAGAAATGTCTGTTTTGTGTAAAACCAATGAATAAAATCCCTTAACACCACAACTCGTTGAGTTCGGCCTATGTTATTTAACGTAGTGCGGGATTGGCGCGCGCGGCGTACTACATTAAACTACGTACCCGTACCATTCCTAACTCCTAAGTATTGATCCAGTGTGAGCCTCACACGGGGAACGTTGTTTCGCTTGCCACTTGTTGTGCCAGTTTTATACTTCAATCTGGTATAGTTCGTTTTCAGATCCGACAATGTCATTGGTGTTGGGGACTATTCCAAATTTAGTGTAGTGTGGGGTTTTGTCTTGGATTTAGTAAAAATTTAATAGAATAACGATATTACTGTAGTGTTGCATTGTGGAAGGAACCTAACCTCAAAATTGTGCTTGACATTTGAAGTATCGGCATTCATTTATCTGACGTATATTTTGAGCTATGCACAAAAGCAACTTACTCCCTGTACATTTCTTATGGGAGTTAAATTTGGTTTTCTTTTCCAAGCTCGTTTGGCTCTTATGTCCGACCGATTTTCATAATTTTGGTCTTAAAATAAAGCTATGGAAGCAAAAATTTGCCATCAAGAATCATCATTCATTTATCTAATGTACCTATTACACAACTAAAAAATATAAATTAGATTTTTTTAAAATGTTTATTTCAATTAAAGATGTATTTCAGCAGTTTTAATTAAATTATAATATATATGTTTTGGTCTAAGAACCTTAAATGAAATACCAGCTTTCATTTGAGCTATTGATTATTAAGATCATACGTACCTGAAGCACGCTGCTGAATCACGAATCAACAATAATTATAATAGTTTTAGGACTTATCTGTAATCAATTCAATATTTTCATTTCAGTTATTTTATTTGTCTTGGTCTTAAAATACTACTAGAAATAAAGGCTTTCATTTGATATATTGATTGTTTAAATCAGTTAAGTTTAAGATACTAAATATCACTCAATAAAAAAACATAAATTTGATTATATCTCAGATATGGAATTGAATTTTAGATGTATATACTCAATTTTTATTACGTTATCCTATATGTTTTGATCCAAGAACCCTCAGTAAAAATACTAGCTTTCATTTGAATTATTGATTATTAAAGTCACACCTACGATACCTAAAGCACACTACTGAATCACGAACAATCCAAATTGTTCCAAAAATGGAGTTATTTATCATTGATTTATAGTTAAATGATCTTGCTTGAAACCTCAACAGTAACTGTCGGCTTTTACGGGTTTCACTCTGTAAATCTTTAAAAAAATCAAACTTTCATAATTATTTGCAAATCTAAAAAATAAGGTTATCCCAAGACCTCTTATTAATAAAATCGGTCCAGTAGAGTAGAAGTCAAGTGGAAGGTAATATTCTGATAGTGAATAACATTTCCTAAAAATTACTATTATGTATCTCTTGAAAATACTCAATACAGGCAGCCCAAAGCTACAAATATGAACTTTGAAATATAAACTTGGAAATAGAAACTTGAAAAACAGTCGTTTTAAATGTATTCTTGTTTTTTTTCACAAATGTATAATAAAATCTAACTTTCATAATTGTTTGCAAATTTACACGAATTAGGCTTTCCAAACTAACACAATTGGTCCAGTAGAAGTCTAGATTTAGTTGTACAAAGATTGACAAAAAAACCACTAACTCATTATTTTCTCATTACTAAAATTTGGAGGTTGCTTAGCTTTTTTGCAAATAACTTTTAAATGGTGAGGAAATTGACCAAAGTGTAAGTTGATATCCTGAAAGAGAAAAAAATTTCCTACAAATTAATACCATGTACTTCTTTGAAAGACTCAAAAAAGGCAGCCAAAAGTCTCATACAAATAAAAAGTGTGAAAAACCCCGTTTTAAATGTATTTCTTATGGAAAACGTGTTTTTTTTAAATTTTTCACCACAATAACAAACTTTCATAATTATTTGCAAATCTACTCAAATTAAGCTTTCCAACATAAAATCGGTCCAGTAGAACTCTAGATTAAGTTGTAGAAAGATTTAAGTTTAGATTTTACGTTACAGTTGGTATTGTTGCAGTGGAGAATAAATCATGTGTTTTGTTTTATTTTTAAGAAAAACAATTTGTTTACAATTATTACATACATAGCTGATTATATTGTTATAACTGCCATAACAAATGGCTTAGTCTAGTGGTATTAGCCTCTACGTCTCAGTACAAGGGTAGTAAAGCCACTTTTGGGCTTATATATGAATCTCACACAATATATCTTGATGATGGAGTATGGGCTCAACATTGCAGATAACATACTCAAGTAAGTCCATACAAATATTATTAATAAATAGTAATACAAATTGAGGTGGTATTTTTCAGTGGAGCAGGGAAGACAACATTGTTGGCCACCATCAGTCAGCGGCTTCAAGGTGAGGACAAAACATTTACTTTAGAGAAAAATAGCTTATGTCTGAAACTACAAATGTTCTTATATGATAATTCTTAGTATAGACAACAAAATTTAGTTTGCTCTAATGACAATAGAGTTTTCTTCAGGTCCATTAGTAGCACAAAAATCCTGGATAATTTTTTGAAAAATATCAAAAATGTATAATATTTTTCTAATACCATAAGCACAGCCAATAGAACACAACATTATTTGCTACAATAACATCTCCACGGTATTGTGTAAAGAGACGTAATGAACCTATAACTGTTTCTGCCTATCTAGGTGATGTTTACGGCCAGATTCTGCTCAATGGAAACCAGGTGACTCAACAGCTGATGACGAGAGTGTCAGGCTTTGTACCACAACAGGACCTGACTCTGAAGGGCCTCACTGTCCTCGAGCACATGCAACTCATGGTCAGTTCATGATTTAGGTGTAATCTGTTACGTCCATCGATGTATAATACTCTAGTCTACTGGTTAGCGCACTGTGTGGTGGAAAAATGGTCCGTGCCCACCATTCGAATTGGTGGGATACTGAGGCGGGCCGAATGTACCTCTCTGTTTTACACAAACATACATTCACTCAAACTACTCTGCTATATTTGTTTGTTAACATCCACATTTAAAATTGATATTCTATTTTTCTGGAAAAACCAGTGCTTATTACTATGTAGTTAGTTTTAACCTTAAACTGATGATTGTTTTTTAACACCACTAAAAACATGAAAAATTTAGTAAGCGAGAAACTTTTTTATTTTTTGGTCAGGAAAATTTTTAGATTAAAGTATGAATTTTATATTTTATTTCAAGCTTATTTTGATACGGAGTTTGCTTGTATAATTTTTAAGCGATTAAAAATAGGCATGAAATCGCTTGGCGCGGCTATGGTGCTAAGAGCGCGGCCGGCTAGGCATTAGTTTACGGGATTTAGATACTGAGTTTCTGGCATTTAATTATCATTATATATTACATAAAATATGTCATCACATTACGAAGAATGGGTAACTAAATTTACAAGCGTATGTTTATGCATTTTATTGCTTTCCATAGTCTATAGTTAAAAAAAATCTTTGAATCAAAGATTTTGGATTCACAGTAATATTTAATATTAACCTAAGAAAATATTTTGTAATTATTTTACTTCACTGAGAATAATCAATGAATTGGAGATATTGATGGCATCAAATATTATACACTCCTTTTATTTAACAACATATAATATATTTTTTAAACATGTTAATCACAGTGTGACAAATAAACAATAAGTAACATAAACAGCTACAGTAATATAAACAAAATGTAAATTATTACATGTTGCAAAGTCTCTCAATAATAATTGGGGCTCACAGCAGCAAATGATGACATGCTTATGTGATCAAATAATTATTGTAGTATTTTATTCTGGCCAATGTTCAAATGTAAATAAATCAAACTCTTTCATTACATCACTAAATTTCTTCTGAGATTTACTTTTGATACAGTCTGTAAAGTGTGAGCAAGTACTTAGATTAATTATATCTGTTTATGAAACCTCCTTAAGTTCGTTACAATCAATTTTACTCGTAATATTTCCACAAAACTATTATAGCAATACGTGGTGAGAGCGGGCGCGACGCTCGGCACTAGGATGAGTCATGCCTTTATCCCCACTCCTGGCGGACAGAGCAAGGTAGCAACGGCCCGTTTTCAGAACCCTACTTCAACCTGAGCGCGCAATCCAGGGAGTTATTATACATCGATGGTTATGTCAAGCCTCTTTTATCAAAAGGTTCATAGTGGTTTGTGGATATCTCCTACTATAGGATATTTATTTTGTAGTTCATATTTGTATTAGGGTTACCAAGTTAAATATTTAGAGGGAAACTTTTGGTGTTTCATTTTCAGGAATAGCTTTTAAATATGCCATCATGTCTTTGTACTAATGTAAGTTTGCTGATATTAATAAGCAATGGCAAACACCATAGGGAATCATCAATGAATAATGTATAAAATGAACTGTAGTCTACACCCTTATCTGGGCTCAATTTTAGCTTTAAAATTTGGATTTTTTTAAGGTAATTGGCCTTTTTTACCATGAAAAAATAACACAAACACAGCCCTCTAAAAGGACAGTTATACTTTTTACTTCCTAGGGAGTGAAAATCAGCTGGTGCAGTTGATTACGTCATCAGTATATTTTGATCACTTGATCACTTTGATTGGAAGCAATTGATTGTATGATTATTTTCAATCGATTTTTTCATTGTTGCATTGTTGTGTACTGGATCTAAGTTTGTTTACGTTGAATATAAGAAGATGAATGTCACAAGGAAGCAGTTAATCACACTAACTGAGTTAAGAAAACTCTCGATATATCTAATAGTTCAACATATCTACCAATAAATGGGGGAGTAACATAGTAAACACAAACAAAATTCTAATATCTTAACAATTCAATCCATATAATTAATACGCCAACACAAAATTTATCCTTTGAACTCCTTCGCCATAATCAATTTTGACCATTGACGTCTCATTAGAAAGAGCGTGTCGCGTAGATTTGCAAACTGACCTTAAATTTAAAAAAAATCCCTTTGGTTCTGCCCCAGTGGCTTTTGTAGTTCCCATGTTATCCTTATGATGAAAATATTTGTTTACATTATGATCAGCTGGATAATTTAATTGCTGTTAATATTTAAGTTGCAATTTAAGGAAATGCGTCCTACAAAAACTAAATCTTACCATCTTACTGACTTGGTTGAAATTAAATATTTAAAACTCTTTGAATTTGGGTTTGCATACATATTACTGTACAATGAAAAAAAGTGAGAAAGCCTGGACAATTTAAAATATTATCCAAATGAGAACATTGAATTTACACAGTACTATATTTCTTGACAATCATTGGAAGAACCGATTTGCAAACTATGGAAACATTAAAAGTCATAGAATGCCACTGAGTAGAAGAAATAGAGATGATGTTTTTGAAAAAAATTATTATTGTTATTAGTCTATATAATGAAGAACACCTACAAGATGAAGATTCCTACAAACGATGAACGAGGATGTTAGCCAAAGTGCTACAATTTTTAGTAAGAAACATGGACTTAACTTTGTGATAATTGCAGAGGAAAGCCCTCTAAGGCTAAGTAAATCTGGTACGTCAAGGACGTTTAATCTATGTTTCCATAAAAGTCAAGTGATTTTAGAAGAATAGCCTGTGACTATCCAAGAAACCCTTACTAACATTTTAATTGAAGGATTTAATTATTATTCATAGTTAAGTGAAACAAAACCAACTGAACAAAATCAGGCCTTTTACTCTGCATTTCTCAGGTAAATATAATTAACGTTATTGCAACTAACCAAAAGAACGCCAAATAAAATTGTGACAGACAGGTTATGCAGGAAGTCCTTAAGGTAATGAGAGCAAATTTTATCTTTATTAAAAAATGACTGAAATTTGTATACTTACTGCTGGCGACAAGGGTGGTACCATGCAGGCTACATTATCAATAAAGAAGATAAACATGGACAAATTATGCGGCTATAAATCAGGAAATGTTTGTAGAAAAGACTAAAAAAGAATGTCAGCTTATGAAACATGATCAAATATTTACAGGAAATCTTGATTATATCGAACTGTTATATACATTGTGAGTATTTCCATGAGATACACACCGGTAATCTTTGAGTTGACCCTTTTAAACTCATTGTAAATATGATTCTTATTCGTTTTGAAATAACTTCTGTAATACTTTGCAATTACTCAAATTCGAGCAACATGTACACTAGTAAACTGTTTGTTCACAATAGCAAGGTTCAAAACAAGAAAAAGCCAATTTAGAAACAGCTTAACTTTACATGATAAGTATTTTCATTTCGTAGCTTAGATTGTTTAAATAATGGAGCAATTTGACAAAAAATATAGTTCATAACATAGGAAAAAAGTGTCTTTTCAATCCTCGCTCATTTTCAACAAGCTAAAAGAATGTATTTGTCAGATTGCTGATACCGTTTGTTTATTTGATTTGTTTTTGTGTGTTTAAAAAAAGGTATTATAATAATTAATATTACTTCCAGGCTAGATTGAAGATGGATCGTCGTCTGAGGACGTCCCACAGGAACCGAAGAGTTTTGACACTCATCAACGAGCTTGGTTTGGCCAAATGCAGCACTACGAGGCTGTCGGCTCTGTCAGGCGGAGAAACCAAAAAAGTCTCACTTGCTGTCCAGGTTTGGATCCTATTTTATTGCCATCTGTCTTGATTTGAGGGTAGAGGATTTACAGTTATTTAGGGATATACATTTGTTATTTGTTTTCTGTATTTAAATAACACGGTTGAAATTCTAATTGGTAGGAAAAAAGTTACTTTTCTCCAGTTTACTCTTAAAATCCTACCTGAGTCCCTTTAAATAATCTGATAAGCACTGTCACCTTTCAACAGTAAGTAATTCCATTCTTAACTTGTGACTGGATGTCTTGTTGCTTTGTTGTCTTATCCTTTCTTGTCAAGCACTCGTACTATACCTCTTTGTCTTTTACCTCACCACATTTTAGAACACAAATGAAACTACAGTATCAATCGGTACTAACATTTGTTAATTTGCCTGCTCTAAATTTAACTGCTGCCACTCCAGTTTTGTTAGCTTTAAAAATTCACTGGTCTTTTACATATTATGAGTGGCCTTAAGGAACCTTATTTTTTAATTATCACAACGCTTTGCTGAAATATGTTTTACCAACATGTCTGTAAAAATAATAGATACTCGATAACGCCCATTTTAACCATAGGCTGGACAACTGAAGTTACATCAGGGGAAAAAAATCTCGTTTTTCATATAAGTTGTAAGGTGCAGATGTCTAAAAAGAGGATAGCTTCACAGTTAGCTCTCTTTTACTATTTTCAAATTGAACAACCACTTTGAATAAAAGCTACCTACCAGTGATACAGGTTTGTGAACTGTCAATCTATTCTAGTGGTTTGCATTTCACATTTTCAAAGCATTCGGTATTTATTAAAAAAGAGTCAGCTTTTCTGATCTAAGTTATTTATATTCCCAACCTCCAACAACAAACTCTTTCTTTGCTAAACTTGCCCACAGGACATTTCTTGTCCTTAAAAGTGAGAGATTGGTCTGGGGTGCATTTAAAAAGAAACCTGTCTCTTCAACACAAATGGTATCCTCTAGACTTTCGGCTAGTATCATTTCCTCTAAACCACTCCCTTGTTATCGGGTCTTCGTGATTAGTAGCCACAGTTTTGCCAGAATTAAAATGAATCTTATCCATACAGATGCTGACAGACCCTGCGCTGCTGTTCTGTGATGAGCCGACTACAGGTCTAGACAGTTACAACGCAGGCGCTGTGGTGGAGAGACTACGCAGTCTAGCAGTGAGAGGCAAGACTGTAATCTGCAGCATCCATCAGCCTACGTCCGGCATTTTCGACATGTTCCACAGTGTCATACTGCTAGCGCCTGGAGGTGAACTGGCTTACCAGGGCGACCCACAGCACGCACTACAACACTTCAACAAGTTAGTACTATTAGTACTCATAATAGTTTTATTATAGCTCATAATTAGAATTAATTCAATAAACATTTAGCTTAAGTTCAACTAACAGATTTTCATTAGTTTCATTAAAGAAAATAGAATTCCAGGCTCAGTGCTGGTGTCCACAGTAAATTATCTTAAAGCCGGGTTTTCCTAGACGCGGAAGTGGAGAGCAGAGAGAGGAATGCGGAGAGCGGACTCCACTTGTCTTAAGCTTGGTTTTCCTAGGCGCGGAAGCGGAGAGCGGAGAGAGGAACGCAGAGAGCGGAAAAGAGATTAACATGGTGTTCCGCTCCGCTTCTAGGAAAACAGTAACATTAAATTGCCTAAGACAAGTGGAGTCCGCACTCCACGTTCCTCTCTCTACTCTCCACTTCCGCGCCTAGGAAAACCCGGCTTTAGGTAATTTAATGTTACTGTTTTCCTAGAAGCAGAGCGGAACACCATGTTTAATCTCTTTTCCGCTCTCGGCGTTCCTCTCTCCACTCTCTGCGTTCCTCTCTCCACTCTCCGCGTTCCTCTCTCCACTCTCCGCTTCCGCGCCTAGGAAAACCCAGCTTAAGGGGAGGGGGTGGGGTAAACATGTGTCTTAATCCATGAGTCAAGAGGTCCTTTAGTGTTGTATGTTACATCTTCTATACCGGGTGTCCAAAACCACCCGTACACCCCTTTCAAAACGATGGAAACCATTTCTGACAAACAAAGAATAATACAGAACTAGCTAAATTGGGCACGGTCTACCAAATGGTGATAATTTCAAATCCAAAATCACACCGGAAGTGGCTTTTTCAGACCGGAAGTTGACTTTTTTAAATGTAAACTACCAATTTTGATTACAGAATCGGATTCTACGTTGAAAAATACATAGCTTTTGTCTAAAACATTTTTTGAAAAAAACTTGTATTCTACCTCTAATGCCCCAGTAAAGTCAATAATTTTTGGACATTCATCTGTCAAAGTTACTCGAAACAATAATAGAGAAAAACTAATAACAAAGATTACATAAAGACATGTGATAAATAGTATCAGCTGTTCATTGTAAACACCTTAGCAATTGAGTTAAAGCTGGTCTACACATTGCTTAATTTCATTTCATTTTAAAAATAAATCATTTGTTTTTACATTTAAGGAGTCATATGTTTCAATAAATTATAAAAAAAAAATAAACTTAGCAATGTGTAGACCAGCTGTTACTCAATTGCTAAGGAGTTTAAAATAAACAGCTGATTCTATTAATCATATGTCTTTATGTAATCTTTGTTATTTCTTTTTCCCTATTATTGTTTCAGTAACTTTGACACATGAATGACCAAAATTTATTGACTTTAATGGGGGATTAGAGGTAGAAAACAAGTGTTTCAAAAAATGTTTGTGACAAAAGTTATGTATTTTTCAACGTAGAATCCGATTCTGTAATCAAAATTGGTAGTTTACATTTAAAAAAGTCAACTTCCGGTCTGAAAAAGCCACTTCCGGTGTGATTTTGGATTTGAAATTATCACCATTTGGTAGACCGTGCCCAATTTAGCTAGTTCTGTATTATTTTTAGTTTGTAAGAAAAGGTTTCCATCGTTTTGAAAGGGGTGTATGGGTGGTTTTGGACACCCGGTATTATTAATACGCTACATGAAACTTTGTGAACAATAAGGCTTTTTTGTTTTAAGACTTAACCCCACATATTATATACCAAAATGTTTGTCTAGGTGTGTAAATTTTCAAACTGGCTTAACATTTTTGAAAAAGTCCCTTGGGCTCTGCCCCAGTGGCTTTTAAGTTCCCATGTTATCCTTATGAAGAACATATTTGTTTTACATTATGATCAGCTGGATAATTTAATTGCTGTTAACCCTTTGAGTGCCAACGTCCGGGGAACCGGACGTTTTTAAAACGAGCCAAAAGTGCCGACGCCCGGCCGACCGGACGTTTTTAGAACGAGCCAAAAGTGCCAACGTCCGGCTGACCGGACGTTTCGTAATGATCGAACAGTTGTCATAACAACCGAATGGATACTCGGATTCTTTTAACCCATATATTAACATTGAGTCAAAAGTTACTAGATGCGATACATCGATTTTCGTTGGTCGAAATATCGAAAATTCGATTTTTACGAAATTTTAACCTAAAAATCGCCAGATCGCGCTCGGCATTTTTAGCGCGACCTTCGGGAAAAATCATCGGCATTTTTTGAGCGTTACTTTTATTTCTCGCCTGGCACTCTAATGGTTAATATTTTAGTTGCTATAAGGATATTTAACATATTTCTAGATTAATAAATAGTACCAAGATACGTACGTGTACATCTATGAAAACAAAACAAAAATTATTCTATAGGCTAACCACTTATTGTACGTTGTATAATTGTACCCAGGCAAAGCTGGGTTTTGCTGCTAGTACTTTATTTAAATGATAACAGTAAAAAAAAGAGTTTTCTCAGGAGGGTAATAACCCTTTTCGCCTACTCCTGCACAGGCGCCCAGGTATCCTAGAAAATTCATTCTCATTTTAATCACTATTTCCCACCAACCAGATGGGAAGTGACATCTCATTTCATTCATTCATTATTTAGTATTAAGTTTCTTAAAATATGTTAACTTTTGTTCATACACCTTTGTTATTAATCACTCCTCAGAAAAGCTGGCCTAATATTCATTAAATTTATTTATAGTTATTTATTAAATATGTAAGAGAATTGCAATACTTTAAAATTTCTTATAATATTTTTTCAAAATTAGTCCTTAAGGAATCAAAATTAAAGAAGCAGTGAAACAGTGATCCATGTGTTCAACAATAGACCTATGTGAACATTGAGATTGAGGGAGAAGGGAAGCGATAGTTGAAAGTTGAAACTGTTAAAAGAAGAAGTCCAGATTTTATCTAAATTAAATTAATCAATATCATCAAGAAAAACCAGTTTATATTCAAGTTATATTTTAGTCAACCTCAAGAGGACTAACTCCAAACATTATTTTCAAAATTAAGTATAAACTTTTTCTTTTAAACTCTTTTAAATTCAGTGCACATTGGACTTACCTTTTGGACAACCTCAAAATTAGATCTTTCATTGTTGGGATTTTGTAAGTTAAACACCTTAATTATTTGGACACTACTTCATATATTAATTCTTAGCATTCAAGCCAGCACGACACCCTACCCTGAGATATAGCACATCTAAATTATACTATTGTCAATTTGAACCTTTATTTAAAACTTATCTTCTATTTTATTTTAATTTCAGCCCACACTCCATTGTCAGTCCTTTCATCAACGTAACTTAGCCTTTTAAATTTTGTTGCATGTTTGTTCATTTGTTTCAATAAAATACCTTTTGTAATTCGTATATCTTTTGTTACTTATTAACTTTAAACATTTATAGAATAGGCCTAGCCTAAAATGAATATATTGTGAGGTGAGTTTACACAAGTATAGATCAAGTCAATGAGAGTGGCAAGCGGGATGTGCATGACAAGAACCCATGCTCCAACACTGTCGCTTTGTTATTTTTAACAGTGGTGTGACTATCAGTGGGACATTTCTCCTATCTCCGTACATGTATCCTAATTGACATGATGTTAACTGAGTAATGGATGATGCATTAAATGATAATTTATTTTTTACAGTTTAGACATTGTTTGTCCCACTTCTTATAACCTGGCAGAGTTCCTAGTGTCACAACTAAATGTCACCGACCAGCCAGAGTCTCAATCCAAGGTACAAAGAATATGTTCCAAGTATCTGGAGTCTGAGGTTGGAAAAGAGCACGAGAAGAAACTTGAGAAATTGAAAAACCGCAAGAGGCACAACAACATACTAGAAGTCAGCAACGGTGTAGCACACTACGGAGAAGTAAGTAATATACAGCTTTTGTTCATTTTGGTTGTAATGCCATTTATACTATGGTAAAAAATTGTTGTGTTTATTGTTGCTGCTCGTTCTTTAATGTTTGCAGTTGTTTGAAGGCAGTCAGTAATTTTTGTTCACATATTTTTAGAAAATTGTGCTATGTGTGTTTCAGTAATTGTTTGCTATAATGCTTCCAATGTTTATATGTAGGAGTGTGTATCAATGTTATTTTGTTTGTTATGATTACCTTTTTGCTGTGAAGAAAGGTATTTTTCTGTTGGTTGGTTCTAAAATTGAGTTCTTTGAAAATGCTATTGAAAAATAGCGTTCCTGGAAACATGGACCAAAGATTATTGAAAATAATCTGCATCAATGTATACATCTATGTCCTAAAATAGTTTTTAATGAATAACTTATTGATCAGCATTGTACGTGATACTAAATTTACGGAAAGTAAATAAAAGAAACGTCTTATAACACTTAAAGTTAAAACCTATATTTTGGCTTATACTGTTACTCACAAGAAGGTAGATATACAAAAAAGATGGTAATGGTGATCGATTTTGATTTGACACTCCAATCATCATCAGACCCAATTAATAGGCCAATGACACCTATTCGCCACATTCGTCATTCGCCTATTGGGTCTGATGATGATTGGACTGCCCAATCGAAATCGATCACCACTTATCTTTTTGTATATGTTCTGTCTTGTGAGTAACAGTAAGCGTAAATATATGTTTTAAGTGTTATAAGACGTTTCTTTTATATACTTTCCCTATTATTTAATGGTCATATTTTTTTCAGTTGGAGGACGAATTTCAGAAGTATGTGAATATGTAAGTATTGCTCAACTAAACATTACAATTAAATTGTATTTTTAATAGCTTGAAGTATTTCAAATCAAATTAATCTTTATTTTAACAAGTAATGATGCAGCAATACAATATAAACAAAACTTATCACATGGGCTTCTGCCTAAGAGTTCCAAACTGACTGCCTAATGGTTATCTTGATACTATTTTCACACACACAAAAAAACACCATTTATTTCTCTTAGTCTAATATATAAATTAAATACACCTTTTAGGCAGGGTTAGAGTAGAAAATGCATAGGGACTGCGGGTTTAGACAGTAATCAAATCACAGATTCTTTGGTCAGTAAATCTTAAAAATGTAAACACGTTTTTCGCATTGGATATACATACATTTATTTATTTGATTGTGGAAATAAACTTTCACATTCTACATTGTTGAAAAAGTAAAATAAGTTGATTTGTTAGGTATTGTTTTCAGTAATTTCTTTTTAATTTTGTTAACACTTCTGTGTATAATGTCTACATTGAACCAGAAATAAATGCTGTAAAAAAAAAAAAAAAACTTTTGAGTGATATTTTTTTATGGGATATTTTGTTTTCCTATTAAAGGCATCAATTTCTGGCTGTCAGTTTATATTATTTATTTAACCAATATAGGCTAAGATTATTTTTCAAGTTGTAAGACTTAATTTGTTATATTTTCAGCCAAACGCCGAAACTCTTTACCCAGCTTTACTGGCTTGTTTGGAGGTCATTTGTTGAAATATTTCGAAACCCCCAGGAACAGCTTCTACGACTCGCCTTCTATATGGTACAACATATGTTTTTACTGTTACATTTTAATGATTTTTAAGTTAATATTTTTCCTATTTTTGCTTTGGTTTGAAACAAACCATGATGTGTGTTTTTATAAAAGCTATAAAACTTATAATTAAGTATGTTACAACTATTATCTGTAAATAATATGTTGATGAACCATTACAGATAAAATTAACAATTCAGTCAAGTAGACCTAAACTGTATCTAACTGTTCTTTTGTTATTCATACATGTTCGCCTTAAACTTAAGCTGCGAATCCCCGTCCTTTAAGCAACAAAAGTTTTATAAAGGAAAGGATGACTCTTAACTACTGTAATACTATTGAAAACTGTTGTATTTGCCTGGGTGAGATATTAATCTATTGTTTATCAATTTTGATATTTTTTTTCAAAAAGCGTTTTATATAACTTAACTTGGTTTGCAGTTCATCGCACTGCTGATATCCACTCCATACACAGGTCTATCAGTAGACCAGGCTGGTATACAGAACATGCAGGGATGCTTGTACCTGGTGGTGGTGGAAACTATCTTCACATTCACCTACAGTGTGTTTCATACATTCCCATCAGAGATACCTGTGTTACTGAGAGAAATAGGCAACGGACTGTACACTCCTGGACCTTACTATGTCTCCAAGATGATAGTTCTGGTATGTACAGCATGAACTGCTATTAAAGTTGTGTTTCAAACAGAAGATTTACACTTCTCTAGATAATCTGATACTTTATCCCGATATTTGGTTGTCCAACCTGCATTGCTGGCAGTCTTATCAGTAGAGAAAAAGCCTGCATCGACATGAATCCTCCGTCTCTTTCGCACTATACACTCAAAATGTTTTTTTTTTTTTAGCGAATTTCCCATATAGGAAATAAGCTATTACCGTAGTACTCATGGTAAGACCTGGACCCGGGACCGATTTAATTTTTCATTTTGAAGTCCCTAAAGGCCAAAAACACCATTCGTTCAAATTCATATATATCTATATATATATATGACTTCGCGGTCACGGCGAACAATCCACCATTTTAGTCACATATATATATATGTGTCTGTTAGCGCGATAACTCGAGCAAAAATTATCTGATTTTGATGAAATTTGGTACAAACGTGTAAACCTACGTTTATTCGAACGAGTTCGCGATCCAGCATAATCGGATCATGGGAACGGGGGTTTATGGGGGGTTTTATGGGGTAAAAACGTACGTATATTGAAGTATTTAGTATATTGAAGCGCTGTTGTATGCCTAATGGTCACGGAGAAAATTAAAAAATAGTGCAATTTAAAATTCCCATGTCATTCTTATGGAGAAAATTAAAATTGTTGTAGTTTACTTGTTTATGTGTGTGTGTTTGTCAAATTTTATATTGATAAAATTTGGCAAATTTATTTATTTCATCCTATACTATTGACGTATGGTCAAAAAACACTTTTTACCTTCCCAGTAGCAGCAAACCTAAGCACTCGTTAAATCTAATGTTATTTAAATAGGGAAGAAATATGTCTTATTTATGGAAATATTTTAGTAAAAATTTAATCAGACAAATTGAAATTTGCTTAGTCTGCAGGTTTGCTGCGGCGGGGGTATTTTTACTATTAGGGTTATGTAAATGGTATACTGTAACGCATACCGGTAATTAGCTGTTATTTAGATAAATTTTTGTCAGTGCTCTCATGGTAAATTACTTTATTATATAGTTTGATTCTAGTTTTTTTTTGCTACCCCAGCCCTAAGGGTAGCATTACCCCTTGCTACCTCGATCTGAAAGATATTTTGTAGCATCCTTTTAGATCAGTCCACCAACTGAAGTCTCCTTGCGAAGCCTATCACCCATTTCTCGTATTTCAGTAGACATCGGGAACGCCTTTCCTGGGTATTTCAACCTCTTCTGGGCTAAAGCCGGACATTCCAGCCATATGTGCTCAGCAGATTCCGCTTTGGAGAGGCAGAATCTGCACTGATCCGTTTGTATAAGCCTTATTGTTCTGAGGTACTTCCTCACATGACTATGCTCTGAAAGAAGACCTATCTAGAGGCTTATTTCCCCTTTTGGAGGTATCTTCAGGGCTGTTAGTGTGAGACGTAGGAATTGGCTAACTCAGGAACTCGCTAACTCGGTCGTGTGTCGGAACTGGCTAACTCTGGAACTGGCTAACCGTCTCAGACAGGAATTGGCTAACTCCGGAACCCGCTAACTCGATTATGTCACGCGGCGGAATTCGCTAACTCTGGAAGTCGCTAACCCGGCCGCGCCCACTGCACGGAGCGTTGCCAACCTTGTACGACGAAATAATTGTATTTCAAAATGTCAGTGTCAATAAAGATACAGTAAATGTTATTGTTTTTTGTTATCAATTCCACTTTTAACAGCTACCTAGCCCAAAGTAATTAAAAAGCAATTAAAAAAATCATTAATAATTGTTTTTTTTTTCATTTTACTGTACAACGGCCAATTAAATGTTTATGATTTCGATCTTAAATATAAATGCCAGTATTATAGGAAAAAATAGAATATGAAAAATTATTGATTATCCAGTAGTACCAATTAAACTTCCATGAAATTAAGCTATAATACACGCAAGTTCTCAAACACGGAAAACAAATTTCATCGTGATGTCGTAATAAACCAAAACCACTTTCATAACTAATTCATAAATTTAAAATTAAAGGTTCGTCGTTGAATCGTCCAACATCCGTGAAAAAATATGACATAGGCTACGTTTCATAACCATTTATAGAATAGCTGTAAATCTAGACCTAATAGTTTAAACCAACGCATTGTAGGCCTACTAGTAAAAGCTAGTTGCCTAATTATTTCAAAAATTTGTTGAATTATTGAGTAATAATGTTACATGTTTTAATAACAGTTTTTAGATGATAAACCTAAGCCCCACTAGTAAATAATAGAAGAATATATAATATTCTTATATTAAAACGTGACAGGCTTATTTTATTTCACGATTCTTAATCGACGACTTGACGGATATTCCTGATTTTAGTGTTAAGTTTCCTTTATATTACTTTTACAATCGAAATATACTAGATCAAGCCATTGCCCGGTTCCTTGTTCCCCTGTACTGAGCTACTCAATAGACAATAGCTTTGTTGTTGGATAAGATCGGCTAATTTTAGCAATGGCCACCATTCATCAAAATGATAGCAAACAAGAACGCCTGGGTCCATTTAGAACCATAAAAACTCCAGACTTCTCAAAAGTAATGAAAGACGTAAAATTAATATTAATCAAACAAAATTAAGATGATGACCCGTTCTACACTAATAGCCTACGATAACAGAAATTTACAAATTGTATTTTTGCATAGACTATTTTTTAATATAATCCATCAATACATTACCACTTTATAATGTACTGATTAATACTAATTTATATTCAATAGCTCCATTTAATAATATATTTAACACTACTAAAATGTATTTCTGTAATGACGTTTAACGTGTAAATTTTATCGGGAAGTTAATCCTCAAAATTCAAGGTCCTTAAAGTCTACGGCAATTACTGGAGCTTTTTTACAATGTCTAATTGTTGGTTGCCTCGAATAGGATAGACTATTACATTACTGCTTCAATTTTGGTTAATCCTACTAATATTATAAATGAGAAAGTTTGGATGTATGGATGTATGGATGTATGGATGTATGTTTGTGACAAGTGAACGCGAAAAATACTGGTCGGATTGGGCTGAAATTTGGCATGATGATAGCTCACATTCCCGATTAACATATAGGCATATTCTTATTTCAAAAATCCTTTCGGGCTCCGCCCCAGTGGCTCTGGAGTTTCCCATGTTAACCTTATGAGAAATGGAATTATTGAATCTTAACAGCTGTTTCAATTAAACAAGTTGGTTCTGTTCTATGATGTTCAATATCATTAAAGTTACAAGGATTACCAACAGGGTGCAGCACTATTATTTCTTTTACATTTATGACAACAGCTAATTTGCAACCAAAAGGTGAGTGAGCGTAGCGAACGAACTCCAACCTGGAGGCGAGTTAGCGTAGCGAACGAGCTAACCCGAAGGCAAGTGAGCGCAGCGAACGAGCTCCAAACTAAAGGTGAGTGAGCGTAGCGAACGAGCTCCAACCTAAAGGTGAGTGAGCGTAGCGAACAAACTTCAACCAGGACGTGATTGAGCCATGCGAACGAGATAATCTTGAAAATTAAGAAGTTAAACGGGGCAAAGCCCGCGGGTTACAGCTAGTAGATCATATGTTTCCTAACATCATAATGTAACAACATTTAAATTAACTAGCTGTTACCCACGGGCTTCAACCCGTTTGACTTCATAAGTATTAATAAAACTATTGATTGGTTAAGTTAAGCTGAAATAAACAAAACAGATTACAGCATTACAAACAATAACATACAAATAAGAACAGCTGAGGTATTTTTACCATAAGGAAAGTTCCCTTTGGGAAGCAATTATGACCTTAAAGGGCATTTATGAAAAAATGGACAATTTTGCGCAAGGTTTCTCGTCATGACGAACATTTTAAGTATATGGTTTATGGGGGTGTGACTTATAGTTTTCTCAAAAGTTCATGGGTACTTTTGGCTGTATATAGGGTGTCCCACGAAGGGGTTTAAACGTTTGATTTTATATTACGTGACCATTCATGCACCGAACTTTTTTAAACTTTACACAGTTTACAAAGTAGGTTCTAAAAATATTCTGGAAAAATTTCAACTCCATAACCTTAGTAGAAACAAAATGGCGGCATATTGAAAAATGTACCAATTTGCTTTCTATAAAAATTACTTTCATGATTTATTATCTGATTTGTTTACTACGTTGCGGTTCTAACGCTCATTGTTGAAGAACAGCTGTTTGATTGTAAAATGAGTTGTAAATGAACAGGTTCTACGGTACCAGAAATGAATCAAGCAATCTTTCAACAAGATGGTGCACCATCTCATTTCGCAAATCCTGTCAAGCAATTACTAAATGGCAACCTTCATGGCCGTTGGATTGGTCGTGGAAATGATTTTTTTAGATTGGCCACCCCAATCACCTGATTTAACTGTTTGCGACAGCTTTTTATGGGGTTTCTTGAAGGAACAAGTTTATACCCATAGCTTCAATAATGATGAGGAACTAAAACGATCAATAGAAGAGGAACTTCTCCGAATACTGCAGGGTTTTTTTTTAAGAGCTTACGAATAAATTGTTACGCACCGTTATCAACTGTGTTGCTGTGTATGGGTTACAGTTTGAATAATTTTGGACATTAAGGTTTTCCATTAGGCTATGTTCTAGTTTTTTTTTATTTCAGTCATGCCCTAGAAAGTAACAATAAAATTATTTTATAAAACCAAAAATACCTTCTTTAATGTTTTTAAAGCATCGTTTTTCAATATGCCGCCATTTTGTTTCTACTAAGGTTAGGGAGTTGACATTTTTCCAGAATATTTTTATATCCTACTTCTTAAACTGTGTCAAGTTTAAAAAAGTTTGATGCATGAATGGGCACGTAATATAAAATCAAACGTTTAAACCCCTTCGTGGGACACCCCGTATATATATAGATTTTCTTGGCTAAAGTAAAGACGCAATATTGTAATAGAGTGTTAACGTTTTAGGTTTTCGTTATTCATTAATGTACCTAGGTATATCATGTGCCTGCTATAC